TGTTCACAGCTAATGACAACTGTTAAATTAATAATATTTATATTATATAGAAATAAATATGATTTAATTTCTCCCCGAAACAAAAAGATTATAGTTTTCGGTATATTTTACTATTTCCAATCTGAGATAGTAATGGTGAGTGAACAGGAGCCCGACACTTGACAGGTCGGTTTTGTTGCAATCGAGAGTTCTCGTAATTCGATTTAATTGCGCGCACAAACCGCTGGAAACGCATCTAAAATTGTGGCTTTTACTTCGTGTTTACAAGGAAAAACGCATACGATTTTGAAGTCCATATATGATTTAGAAAATTTGGAGTACGCGGAGCTGAAATCAAAATTAGAATTACATTTCGGAGAGAGGTTTTTATCTCAAAATTATTATTCATAATTTACGAGACAAAAATTCGAGAAGGATTTGGCTTTCCTTCGTTCGGAACTGAGAAGGTTCTTGTTTAGCCTGAGTGCTTCTTTAGCCAGAGTACTCCTTCGCGATAAGAGTTAAATCGTTTGTGCTCAATTTATTTCAGCACTTTCGGACGTATTTGTAAGAAAAACTCTCCAACTAGAGGGGATTACTTCGTTGAAATTGGCAGTGGGAAGAGCAAAGGCTGTCAAAATAATTCATAGGGATGGTTTTGAGAGAGGGAGAAGGGAAAGGGAGAGAATATGAGGGGAAAGAAATAGGAGGGTATGGCTGGAAGGGATCCTGGCGTGGTAACAGCGCCAACCGGAGAGAATGTTGGACCTGTCCAAGCTGTGGAAGCTGAGACAATATACATAACCCTCGAGCACGATTAATTGGTTTCATGGTTTAATTAACCCTTTCGGTAGTAACTATAATCACTGTTCATCATACTGCTCGTTGTGGCCGAGCAGTGATTATAGTCACTGTCCACATGCTGCTCACTGCGGCCGAGCAACTTGAAATGTTAACTTGTTTCTGTTGATAAATTTTTTTAATGTTTTTGTTATTGAGTTTTATTACATATAATAATTGAAGGCGTTGAACGTCGAATGCCTAGCTCTCTCATCTGAATCGCGTATATCAGCAGATCGACACTTCGGCCATTGGAGGGCTGTTCGCGCCCCGGTCGCTCCGTACCGAAAGGGTTAAAAACCATATTATTCGAGACTGTTACTCTTCATACAATTTTGATGAATTGAAAATCAATGCTGTTGAATTTCGTGCTATTGAAAACAATGCTATTGAGTTTCGTGCTGTTATAAACTATTTGATTCAAAAACACCAGAATATAAAATTGGACACTTGGTTCCAAGAGTTTATAATAAAAAAAGCAATGAAATATCCGTGAAGTGGGTTTGTAACTATAATTATATTCTAATAATATATAGAAATCTGTACAAATAAAGTAATCAACATAGTTTTTTGTTGCATTTATAGCGTACGTTTGAGACATAAGTCGAATGGAATCTGATTTCACAGATACAGAATCGTACAGTTAATATATTGTAATTTGTAATGTGAGGAAAGTTAAATACTAAGCTTATTATTACTATAGTACATGTATAATATTGTTACGCACTCGTAGCTCGCGCTGAGAGACGCCCGTTACATTCGAGTTGCAGAACGAGGATCGTCCCTTGGTAACCGGCAGCTGTTGTTGATCAATAAGTCTCTTACAGCGAACTCGATACACTCAGTACGCACAGGTGCATATTAATTGCCACTGTGGATCGTTTGCGTCTTCAGCATTTTGACTATGTGGTATTTTCCAAAAATTTGTTTACCTAGAGCGCGTTCGTTTAAACACTTTAAACTTATAGTTTAGACAAACTTGTAATTTAAACTTATAGTTAAGGAACATCTTAAGGAACATCTATAAATTTTTTCAGAATTTTTGATAAAGTTTTAGGTTGTTTAATATGTCGCGCACGCAAACGACCCGCATGCCGAAAAAGAGTGTACGGTTGCAGAGTTGTATATCATGATTTAATCTCTAATCTTTAAAGTAAAATGCAAATATCTCAATTAATGAAATGCCTAATACATATTTTACCAAATAGCACAATAAAAAATATTGAGGATTTCATGATTTAACCCGTTTATATTAAACATATACTTTATATACGTTGATTTGTGTTAATACTTACGACGGCTTTAATGTTGTGCATCAGTGGCGCACTGAGTGCATTCAATCAAATTCGCTATTATAATATCTTTATTATAATATTGCTATTGTTATAATCTCTATAGAGATTGTATTACAGTTTAAACTGTAATTGTGTGCCGAGCCGTTGGGTTGACAATTATAAGACGTATTTCTATCCGAGCTGTATTCGATCCAAAACAAAAGGGGAACTTTATTCGGATCAAATACAGCTTGGATAGAAATACGTCTTGTCAGTCCAATGGCCCGCCACACAATCTCCAAAACTCCAAGGCGCTTTTGTTGATCAACAATAGCTGTCGATTATCAAGGGATGATCCTCGTTCTTCAATCGGGTGTAACGAACGTCTCAGCGCGGGCGTAACAATATTATTATATTAGTACAACACATTATATTGTACTAATATGTAAAAACATAATATTTTGTACCTACACAACACAATTACTTAGTAGTCGGAATTAGTTACACTTTCGAGGCGATTTTCGAGAACTACGCTTACTTCGCTCTCCTTGCCTCTCCGCTCGGCCGGCGAGCTCTATTCTTATCGAATTTCTTCTATCGAAATCCTGTTTTTTAATTTTTATATACGCATAAATGTATTTATGTTGTAATTTCAACGTGACAATGAGAAATTCGATAGGAATAGATTAATAAATTAGGAAGAACGCCCCTCGCAAGCTCTATGACAATCCCGTGCTTGAGCGGCGCGCACGTCATTTGCAGGCAAGGTCTGTAAATAGACGCGAGGTCTATCTACGGACCTTGCTTGTAACTCTTGTAGGGTTTGCCAGCCGAGCGGAGAGGCAAGGGTAGAGAAGTAAGGGTAGCTCTCGAAAATCGTCTCAAATGTGCAAATGATTTCAACCATTAACTGTCTGGCTTAAAAATACAAAGAAAATTTCCTAGAATTTTGATAATATGCTTACAATAGGATATACATATATTTTCAGACTGCTAAAAAACACAACAAGAAGAAAACAGAAGGATGTTTTACAATTACAACAATAGGAAAAAAAAATAAAAAAAATTTTTATATACTGTATGTTATTTCTAAATATGCTAACACTTTTAACATTTTAAAAATATAATTAGTATAAAAACATTTTTATTACTTTAAACTTTATGTATATGTATATGGAGAGATAAAAGCCTTAGTGGCGTAAGACAAATTTTTAAAAATATTGACTCGTGTACAATGGAATCTATACAATATATAAATTGCATCCATGCACACAAGTTAATATTAAAAAAAAATTGACTTACACACCACTAAGGTTTTTTATCCCTCCATGTACAATATAAATAAAATGTGGTATATAAAAGTTAACATTTAATTTTAACATTTTTTTATAATTGTTGCAATTATTATGTAGTTATAAAAAAGTATATATGTATTTATGAAATAAAGTGAAACTTCTAATTAAGGCCTAATTAAAGATCAGCAACAATATACGTGCAATATAAATGCATGCAAGTAGTACGAGAGTAGTAGTTAGAATGATGATAAAATAAAATTGTTTTTATTTTTATTAAAAAATAAAAATATAAAAAATTTTTTTGTCCTTGTTTTAAAGTACTCTTCAAATTATTCAACTTTTGTTTAAACATTTTTTTCTCTCTTTTATAGTTTCGGAAATATTCGGCTCAAAGAAAAAAGCCGATTTTTTTCGGTGGGTTGTTTCACCCCCTAAACGCGCGTATGGGCACGTATAAAAAAATAGGTGTTCCTTATTTTCATCTAGAAAACAACATACTAAAAACTTATCAAAATCGGAGGGAGACAGTTCCATGGGTTTCCTTGATGTTAGTATGATATTGCCATATACACTATACAGTTTTCTCTGATCGAAAGTCACTATTTCTAACACCTGTTGAACTCTAACCGACCATTAACTTTTTAGAATATAGTCAATAGAAGTTGGCTATTCTGAAAGTTAACGGTCGATTAGAGGTTAACAGACGTTGGAAATAGTGGCCCCCAAACAGTCTTGTAAAATCTTGTGTCACATGATGATAGATCGCCCCGAGATCTCGGACGGCGAAAGAATTGACCAATTACATTTAAACATTTCGGTTAATTTGACCAATGTCATTGGTTAATTCTTTCTCCGTTCGAGATCTCGGAGCGATTTCTAGCATCGTGGACACAAGGCTCAAGAGCAAGAGGATAAAATATCGATCGGTACGTCAATCTAAAACAGTAAAACTTTCATTTCGCAACAAGTCGCGTCGACTCTAAGTATTTGCTCTTGACATGAGCGCTGCGCACAGATATATCAAACGTTAACATTTTTAGTCTAATCTAAAAATTGTATTAACAAAATTTTGAAAAATAATTATACAAATATAATTTAAAAGGTTGCAAATGAAAAGTCAAAAAGTTTTAAGCGGGGAGCACACACTTCTGCACAACGCATAATGCGTAAGCATAAGAAAATTGATTGGTCAATATAGACATGTGCATAAGGAAATAGACCAATCAATTTTCTTATGCTTACGCATTATGCGTTGTGCAGAAGTGTGTGCTCCCCGCTTTAGAGTCAACTTTTATGCCACAACTATGCAATTGAAGAAATGAGATATGTGATGTTAGCGCTAATACGAGGGCAATAATGGAGGGCTAATGGAGGGCTAATACGATAACAAACAGCGCGGCGCAGGGCTAACACTGACGTTCGTTTAGTGAAATGAGGCGCAGGGCTAACACGAGGACAATGGAGAGTTAACGGTGTAAAGGTCAAGATCGCGCAAGCTTGAACTTTTCTTACGTTGCGGTGAAGTTTTTTTATTATAACACAGAATTGTCTCATGACACGTCAATGCAACATGAAAATAACATACAACGGCCGTATCTCGAGATATCGGTACCTTATACGATTCGCGGCGACATCCTCGGCAAATGTAGCCGCTGATCGAATCCTGAAGTAAACCTTGTAGTTTTTGCGCGAAGATCCATGAAAACGTCAGCTTCAGATGTTTACAATCGTGTGTCACGTGCTCGAAAAGCTCGCAGCAACGATTTCTCGTCTCCGTACTCTCCGTTTCGTTTCTCACGCAACTGACGCAACGCGCGTCTCGTTTCGCGCACACTGACATCGCGACGCGTGCGACGGTAACGATAATAAGCCGGAATAAGAAGCTTGATTGATCTACACCATGCCTTTCGCGTTCATTATCCAGATATCACTTACACTACTATCGCTGGTCGGAATCGATTTCTTTCGCGAAAATGTGAAATCTGGATCTTCCTTCACATTAGACTTTTTCCCTCTCTAAACCTGAGTGACGCAATCGTTTGTTGATATAAGCCAACAAAAACCACGCAATAAAATTAAAAAGATAAACGATAAAGGATTCCAATCGTCGCCTTTATCTGCAGAATGTTTAGACTAGACCTTAGACTAAACCAGACCCTGTAGCCCGTAGAAGGATCGAGAGATCCTTCTACCTGCTCATAGCACGGATTACTTCGTAGTTCGTCAGTTCGTTCCCTTCGTAATATGATTCCTTGACGTCCCCCAACGTCCCGTCAGTGAATATATACTATACTGGAATGTGAATCTATTGATGTACTCTAGTACAAAATGAGATGGAGAATTATGGCCAGACCGTCCTTTTCTGTTGCTGCACTTTTCGAGAGCAATTGAACCATTGGCCAATCAGAAGTTCGCTAAACAGAGACAGAAATGGACGCAATAACCTGTCTCTTTCTTCTTGTGGCCCGAGGAGTTCACATTCCAGTATAATACTTCACTGCGTCCCATTCACATATATTTTAGCAACTGATATCATTTTAATTTATGATTCAGACGTAATACAAAAGTGCAAAATTGCTCACAAGACAAAACTTGACAAAAAGAATTGAAATAGGCATAAAGAAACGAAAAGCGGCTAATTAACAAAACTTAGGATAACGTCCCATAACACATATTTTCCAATATTATAGTATATTCCAATATTATAAACTGCGGTCCAATTCTGTCTTCGTTGCACATCGATTATTAAACGAAGATAGAGCGATGGTTTCAACGCTGTGAGCATGAATCAGATCACAGTCATAGTATATAACCAAACAGTATATTGACCAATCAAAAGCGTTACACAATTTCTGTTACACGGGATTGAACTTCTGATTGGTTACGCGGTTATGTGTTACGCGCAAAATACGTGTCATAGACCGGTATTCATATTTCACAGTCGGTTCTTATTTCAAGATCGTCTTAAAAGTAATGTCTTAAGATGCTAATACGGCTGTGATTGGTTCATGACATCTTAAAACGGTCTTAAACATAAAAAGTGACTATGAATATCGGCTATAGGACACGCCACTCTCACGAGAAAGACGCTACTAAACCTTTCACTCTACCCAAACGCCAACTGTAGCCAGCATCCATGAAATGGTTCGTCGATACTAGCGCCGGTTACACTCGATTACTCTTGTCAGTACTAACCCCGGATGTATATAACGATGCGTAAAAGAAACAGTCTATTGATACTTGATACTAAGTATCTCGGGTGAAAAAAATCTCTTATAATATCCTATAACATTTTTAAGAATTTTTAATATCTTAAGTTTATGAACATCTCTTTAAAAAAATTTCTTAAACTTTTTCAGATTTTATATAAGTTTTCTTCGAAAATTATAAAATGAGAATTCTAGCTTACATTTCAGAATTTACACTTTTATAAAGAATAATATAATTTCTGAAAAAATTATAAAATTATATGAAAATTGTGAAAAACTTAAAAATTTATATGTAAAAATTTTGTAAAGTTACATAAAGAATCCTATATAACACAAATTTTTATTAGAAATCGTCTATAGTAAAAAGCTGATGCAGACAGAACAAATTGTCTTCGTATAAATTTTATTTTTCTTTTATACTTGAAAAATTTTATCTTCAATGCAAAGAGTCAATCCTTCGGGATAGTGTCACCTAGTTTTTTTCCCCCAAACAATCACCTGGGATATTTTTTATGCTCCAATCTAGTCACTATTATTAACTACTATCTTGATAATTCTACGATTTATTAATATTTGAGATCATTATGTACGTATATAGATTTATTCAATATTTTCTAAAAAAAGTAAGGAAAAATAAAAAAAGTTAGGATTCTCAATCAGTAAAGAAGACTGTAACTGTTATTGAGCTTCGATTTCTCATTGTTATAGGCGCACAAAAGTCACCCCAGGTGACTATACACCTAGGTTAAAATGGTGGATTAAAGGCCCGGGCACATAGAAAAACTTAAGCAGTGAAAAAATCAATGGTATGGATTCGCTACTGCTTACGTTTTGTCTTAAGTTTCTTGACTGTGAATGACTAATTTGTTTACTGCTAACGTCTCACTACTTAAGTTTTTCTATGTGCCCGGGCTTTAACTAAAGGGTGCATCATGATTCATGATTGTTCTGAGACGTAAGCTAGAGACATTTCCATACTACATAGGTTAAATTGCATTCCGATATTTACTGTCAGTAACTGTCAGTACTGAAAATCTATTGTATACGTGACGTAAAATATAGAAAAATATAGATTTTCAGTACTGACAGTGAATATCGCGGAATGCAGTCATAATCGCTATTCGGTTGACATTGCCTTAGCAAAAGGATTAACGATTATTTTAAGGATTACGAAGTTCGAGAGTTTCTCTTGGATTGCAATACTTAATACTTAATCCCTTTTAGATAGAAGAATGTCTCTTATAAGTTTTGTTTTTAAAGAAATATTTAAAAACGTGCTGTAGATTTATTATAAGCTATAAGCTAGAACTAAAATCTTCAGGTCTTAAATTTTATGACGCCCTGGTGTCATAAAACCCACCGACGTTTTGCTACAGGCCTGGTCAAACCTGGTCAACCTCGAGCTCCGGAGCTGGCCTGTTTTATTTATCTTTAACAGTCATAAAATTGTATAAATAATTAATTTCCATTTATTGCATCCATTCCCAGCAAATACAAAGTAGTCATAAATGTATGTACAAAACGACACACACGTGCTTAAATATACAACGACATATATGTAACTGATGACATAATTGTTACTTTGTAAGAGTTTTTGTCGATGTTTCAAGTCCCCCTATTTCACGTATCGTTTTTGCCCGTTCTGTCATATTTAATTGTTTTGCGTCAAACAACTTTCGTGTGAATGAAAAAGCTGCAAACGTATCCAATGTTTCGTTTTTTGCACCCCGAAAAAATTCCGACAGTTTCGTTCCGGCAGATTGACTCAAATCTTTCCACAATTTATTCACATCGAATAATTTCGCATTATGCGTTAACGCCGAACGTGTTGTTTGCGAAATATGGTCTGGTCTGTAAAATTATTTAAAAATTTAAATATTAGAGTCCATATCCAATCCGAGAATCCGATTTAAGCATAACTGTGTGAGTATAATAGTTGATGCATTAGCAAATAAAAAGTTTATGCTTACAATATTATAACTTTTCCGCTAACGTTTTGACGATCATCTAATAATATATAAGTCTTATTATCAGTAGATGTATTATATGGCGTAATCGTAGTATCATCGATCCACATTGAATCATTCTCAACGACAGAGGGTGCAGATGTCGCTGTTACAGTATCGTAATTCGAGCTATTAACAGCGCTACCCTCGGTCGAGTAAAAGGCTCGAAATATTTCGTAAAATTGCGCACTATCTGGTATCTCAGAGCCTTGATCGTTCGTGAATAATACCGAAGCGTTAGACAATGAAGCGGAATGAAACGATTTACTGAAAAAATGAGATATGTGTAGATAAAAAGGCACTTTCTTTACGGAGTAGAAGTAAACATATATTTATTTTCACAAACATACTTCTCACGTTTAATTGAATAATTATCTATGTCGAGAAATCTCATAATAATATCCGTGGAGTTCTGATCTTTCTTGCCCAGATGTACCGCGGACCAAGTGATAATTGTCAGAACGATTAAAAATATTGCAAACGACATCAACCACTGGGTCAATCCAAAAGCCATAGTAAAATTTATCTTTTTTATAAAAAGCGACTTTTATACAAACAAATCGTCCCGTGTCCCGTCAATCTTTTCTTTTTTCGGTTTACTATATTCTACGTGAAAAGGATTTGACCATTTTGAAACAAAATGTAATCTGCCGCGATATGTATTTGATCGATCAAATATAGGGGTGTGTTCAGATTCCACACCCGAGTGCTGAAAATCTATAGTGCACGTAACATATGTTGTAGGTTTTTTAGCACTCGGGTCACTCGGGTGGGGAATTCGAAGGCAGCCGTTCTAGACTAGAGGATGAGCCGACTCTTGGCTCATCGGCCTTCTATAGTGTACGTGACATAAACTATACATAAACTATAGATTTTTACCCGTCTACACCACTCACTCGGATGAGCCGAGAGTCGGCTCATCCTCCAGTCTAGAACGGGCAGGTATAGGATGTGTGTTCATGGAGCTCGTGTCGACATTGGTGCAACGTCATGGCGCCTCCTGACAGCTGATTTTAAATGTTTTAAATCATAGAACAAAGTCGAAAAAATTTATTAATGGCAGTAGCACATATAGTACAAAAGTCAATAGATTCATTATTATATCTGAAAGCGATGATGAAGAATTTGAATTTTTGAATATAAATATTCGAAAAAGAAATAGGTGTCTAAGTTGCAAAATTATGTGGAAATAATAGTCCCAGTATTAACTGATCAAGAGTTCAAGGCTTATTTCAAGTATTAGTTAGTAATATAAATATAATTTCTTTTCTTTACAAGAAAAAAAAATAAATTAATAAAAATAAATTAAATAAAATAAATAAATATAATAAATTAATAATTATAATTAATAATTATAATATATTAATATTTAATATTTTTTTTAAATTTAATAATTGATTGTATTATTTAATAATAATGATTAATCTAATTTAAGATATCTCCTGAAACTTTTGATTATCTTCTGTCTCTAATTGAGCAAAGATTACAAAGATAAAACATTGAAATGAACTTTTAATTCACGCAGTTTCTGTTGCCATTATGGAGATTATTATTATTATAGCCACTCCAGATTCTTCGAGGTACTACTCTTTGAAATATTGTCAACTTACGAATTAGGCAATTCTTAAGTTTTTATTTTTTAATGTTCAGGTTGATTTGCAAAAAATTTAAAGTCGGTAGAAGTATTGCGTTGTATGTAACAAGACGTATTGTAATGCACTTGTTGAACTTGCGCCTATTATGATTAAATAATGGATTACGGGAGAACGAGTTGTTCAAATATGGGTAGGATTTGAAGCCACTAGTGGTTTTTCTAAAGTCATCGGTGCTATTTTGAGATAATTTAATTTTAAATTGCTCTTGAGATTCGGCGTCCTAGAGATATATGGCTGCGTAACAATTGATATTGGACAAAATATATCCGACAAAATATCTCGGACAAAATGTCTCACCGACAAAATATCTCGCCGAAAAATAATTTCTCAAATATAACAAATATAGCTGAACATAAGGCGTTTATTGCAAACTTGTTTTGCGTGGAAAGTGTATGCGTGGAGGCAGTAGGTTCCGCCCTCCTGCGGG